CACCGTAATAAAAGCATACCGAGCTTTACAACTTTTACAAAGTTGTGAAGTTTCTTCTTTTCTCCGCAAAACACTGTGGACGTGCTAGGAGCAACAGGCAGGAACTGGGCGTGTCTGGGTGCACGCTGGAGGTGATTGGAAACAACTGGGCTTATACTGGGATGAACTGGGATCATGCTGGAGGTGACAGGGACCATAATGGCAGTGAATGCCACTACACTGAGGCTGACTGGGAGTGCTTGTGAGCAAATGGGATCATACTGGAAGGAACTGGAAAGATGCTGGAGGGAACTGGGCTACACTGGGACATACTGGGAGTGACTGGAAGGAAAGTGAGGGTGAAAGAGAGCAACTGAAACCATGTGGAGCACAACGGGTTTATTCTGGTAGAGACTGGGAGCACACTGGACTCATCTTTGGATCATACTGGGAGGGACTGGACTAATACTGGGAGTATCTGAGAGTGACTGGGAACACACCCTGCACATCGTCCCCCATACTGAGCCCTATTGGGAGCAACTGGGAGCGCACTGGGAGCAAGTGGCATCATACTGGGACTGACTGGGCTGATCTAGGAAGCAACTGGAACCATGCTGGCGGCAGCTGGGACCATACTGGGAGAAATAGGAAGCAATTGGGATTATACTGGGACCTCGCTGAGAGGGCTGGCATGTGACTGGGATCAAACTGGAGCTTACTGGGATCACATCTGGGTTTAAAGGGAGCAACTGGGATCACACTTTTGGCTACTGGCAGCAACTGAGCAAAACTGGGATGATGCTGCAAGCAAACTGGAGGAACTGGGAAGGTCTGGATGCCTGCTGCAGGCAACTGGGATATACTGGGCATGACTGGGGGATCATACTGGGAGAACTAACACCTTACTGGGGCCACTGGCAGTGTCTGGAAATGACTACAGACATGCTGGGGACAACTGGGATATACTGGTATTGTCGGACACCATACTGGGGTAACAGTAATCACATTGGGGAGAAACTGGGAGTGAGTGGGACCATGCTGAGAGGAACTGAGATCATATGGGGAGTGACTGGGACTAGAGCAGGGGCAACTGTGTTCAACTGGGACCATACTGGGAGTGTCTGTAACCATAATGGAGAGATGGAAGCACACTAGGAACAGCTGGGCCCATGCTGGGAGCCACTGGGATCACTCTCACGGTGACTGGAATCATGCTGGCATTGACAGGGAGCAACTGGGATCACACTGGAGGGACTGGAATTGTACCAGGAGTGTCTGGTAGCAACTGGGATTAGACTGCAAGTGACTGGGATCATACCAGGAGTGGTTACAATCATACTGGGATTAGAGTGGGTGTGATTGGACCCTGACTGGGGGTTACTGGGAGCTACCAGGCCCTGCTGGGAGTCAACTGGGGACATAATTAGAGCAACTGGGAGAACCTGGGAGATAACTGGGGGCAAGTAAACCACATTGAGGTGACTGGGAGTGCCTGGCAATGACTGCCAGAATGTTCAGGGCAACTGGGATATAGTGTGAGGGTCTCAGACCATTTGGGTGTGGGACTGGGACCAGACTGGGAATGTGCTGGGGGAACTGGGAACACACTGGGGGCAAGTGGGAGTGACTGGGAACCTGCTGGGAGAGACTGGGATCATACTGGGAGTGCCTGGGACTATGCTAGGGCCAACTGGGAGAACTGGGAACACACTGGATGAAAGTGGGAGGAACTAGGACCATGCTGTGAGGAATTTGCATCATCATAGGGAAGGACTGGGAGGGACTGACCTCGTCTGGTAGTCACTGGGATCCTGCAGGGAGGCAGGGGAAGTGACCAGGATTATACTGGGAGTGCACAGGCCCATATTGGGAATGACCAGGCTCACACTGGGAGTGCCGAGGAAACTGGAAGCACATGGAGGGACCAACTGGGCTCATACTGGGAGCACCCACTGCTGGCGCTGGGACCCTCCGATGTCTCCCTGAGAGGCATCTGCGGCTTGGCTTTGGAGCCCTGCCAGCTGCAAACCTCCCCCCCAAAAAACCCCAAACCCAGGAACCCCCCTTGGGATATTTGTGCCGCGCTCCCCCTGCCCGGGCACCTGCAAAATGGGGGGCGATGCTTCCAGGGCTGTGGCACTTTCAGGGAGCACCCAGGCCATGAGATTCTCCCTCTCCTCTTGTGCTGCCGCCGCTCGGCCTCTTCCTCCCTCCCTCCTCCTCCGCCCCATTCCGGAAGGCCAAGCCGTGAGGGGAAAGGGGGCGAGGAAGGGGCGGAACCCTGAGGGGAAACGGGGCAGGGAAAGGCCGGAACCGTGAGGGGAAAGGGGACAGGGAAAGGGTTGGAACCGTGAGGGGAAATGGGGGCAGGGAAAGAGCGGAACCGTGAGGGGAAAGGGGCGGGCTCAGGCCAAGGGCGCCAACTGTGAGGGGACACTCTGGGAGGCGGTACTCTGCAACCAGAACTGCAACGGACTGAACATGAACGGGAGAGAAATCAGTAAGTCTAGGAGTTTTATTTGCTGCAAATGCATCCTGTACAGCCAGCCCCACACAATCACTACCCGTGAGGTGCAGCAGCGCACGAAGCTCTTCCCGCACTCGGGGCACTCGCAGGGCTTCCCTTACCAGCGCCTTCGTTGGTGTTGGGTCAAGTGAGAGCTGCTGGAGAAGCTCTTCCCACACTGGGGACACTCACAGGGCCTCTGCCCAGTGTGGATGCGCCGGTGCTTGACGAGGTTGCAGTTGCGCTGGAATCCCTTTCCACAGTCGGGGCAGCGGAAGGGCCTCTCCTCTGTGTGAATCCGAGAGTGCAGGACGAGACTGGAGCTGGTCAGAAATCTCTTCCTGCATTTATCACACTCGTAGAGCCTCTCCCCAGTGTGGATGCGCTGGTGAGTGATGAGGGTGGAGTTGCGCTTGAATCCCTTCCCACACTCAGGGCATTGGAAGGGCCTCTCCTCTGTGTGAATCTGATAGTGGCGGAGGAGGTGGGAGCTGGACTGAAACCCCTTCCCTCACTTGGAACACTTGTAGGGCCTCTGCCCAGTGTGGGTCATCTGGTGTGTGATCAGGTGGGAGCTCTGGCTGAAGCTCTTCCCGCACATGGAACACTTGAAAGGCCTTTCCCCAGTGTGGATCCTCTGGTGCTTGATCAGGCTGGAGCTCAAGTTGAAGCTCTTCCCACACTCCCCATATTCATGGGGCCTCTCCCTAGTGTGGATCCTCTGATGCTTGGTCAGGCTGGACCTCTCTCTGAAGCTCTTCCCACAGTCCCCACACTCGTAGGGCCTCTCCCCAGTATGAATCCTCTGGTGGCTGATCAGGTCAGACCTCCACCTGAAGCTCTGTCCGCGCTCCCCACAGTTGTAGGGCCGTTTCCCAGTGTGGATCCTCTGGTGGCTGATCAGGTGGGAGCTCTGAATAAAACCCTTCCCACACTCCCCACATTTGTAGGGCCATTCCCTAGTGTGGATTATCTGGTGCCTGATCAGGTAAGAGCTGCAGCTGAAGCTCTTCCCACACTCCCCACACTCGTAGGGCCGTTCCCTAGTGTGGATCCTCTGGTGCTTCACAAGGCTGGAGCTCTCACTGAAGCTCTTCCCACATTCCCCACACTCGTAAGGCTTCTCGCCCTTGTGGGTCCTCTGGTGCAGGATCAGGCTAGAGCTCCACCTGAAGCTCTTCCCACACTCCCCACACTCATAGGGCTTTTCCCCATTGTGGGTTCTCTGGTGCCTGATCAGGCTGGAGCTCTGGCTGAAGCTCTTCCCACAATCTCCACACTCATAGGGCTTCTCTCCAGTGTGGGTCCTCTGGTGCAGGATCAGGTTGGAGTTCCACCTGAAGCTCTTCCCACATTCCCCACACGTGTGGGGCTTCTTCCCATCATGGAGCTTCTCATGGAGCAGCAGCTCTGAGCTCTGGCTCCATCTCTGGCCGCCTTCCCGGCCCAGGCTGGCTCTTTCCCCCTCAGATCCCTGCCAGCTGCGTTTGCAGCCCCTCCTCGTGCGGCATCTCCGGGCCTTTTCCTCCCCGTTGGCTTCCTGTGCCGTGGAGCCGCTCAAAACGGCCTCTGCCACCAGGTTCTGCCACGGGCATTTGTCCTCCCTGCTCTCCATGCTCAGCTCCTGCTCTGGGGGAGGAAGGACAAGGACAGGATGGGATTTGCCTCCGTGCCACAGGCAAGGGCAAGGAGATCCCCCCAGGGCGTCCCCGCCAGAACGGTACCGGCAGCGCCTGATGTCCCCCCGCGGGGCCTTTTCCGCTCAGGTTTGGACTTGTTCATTCTCCAGTCGTCCCCCCAAAAACCCAACCCAGGACCCCCAGGGATATCTGGGCCGGCCTCCCTCTCACTGCTCACCTGCACGATGGGGGGCGGGCGATGATCCCGCAGGTGGGGGCTGCGAATTCAGGCCGGGCTCGAAACCCCTCTGCGCCTTCAGCTCAGCCTTGATCCGCCTTTGTCCCTCCTCTTCCTCCCGCTCCTCCTCTTCCATCCCCCCTCCCGCTCCTCCGTGTTATCCCCACCTCCTTCTCCTCTTCCATCCCGCCCCTTCCATCCCTTTTCCTCCTCCTCCTCCCTAACCCCACCTCCTTCTCCTCCTTCCATCGCTGCTCTCTCTCCGCCTCCATCCCTCCTCTTCCATCCCTCCTCCCCCTCCTCCTCCCCCATAACCCACTGGAACCCTGAGGGGAAAGGGGGCAGAGAAAGGGCGGGAACCGTGAGGGGAAAGGGGGCAGGGAAAGAGTGGAACCGTGAGGGGAAAGGGTGCAGGGAAAGGACGGAATCGTGAGGGGAAAGGGGGCAGGGAAAGGGCGGAACCGTGAGGGGAAACGGGGGCAGGGAAAGGGCAGGAACCGTGAGGAGGAAGGGGGCAGGGAAAGAGCGGAACCGTGAGGGGAAAGGGGCGGGCTCAGGCCAAGGGCGCCAACTGTGAGGGGACACTCTGAGAACGGCACTCTGCAAACAGACCTGCAACGGACTGAACATGACGGGAGAGAAAGCAGAGAGAAAGCAGTAAGTCTGGGAGTTTTATTTGCTATAAATACATCCCACACACCCAGTCCCTAGCACTTGAAATTGAGATCCCAGCACTTGAAATTGAGATCCCACATCTCCCAATCTCTTCCCAACTCCATCTAAACCATGTCAGTGGCTGTGGAATCAAGTGAATTTTTAAAGAGGTAGAGTTTGTTTGAGGTGGGAAAAAACCGTTTTGATGTGGGCCTGAATCCTTTCCGGGTAAGATCAAGCAGTTTTCACTGGGATTTGAGTGGTTTTGAGGTGACAGATCCATCCCTCTTGGCTTTTGGACTGCAGAGAGGGAGAAGAGAAAAAAATTAAGGCCAAACGAAAAGGAGAAGCAGCCGAGTGTGTTGCCAACATGGATCACAGAGAATGTGAGTGACCACGGATGTGGTCAAAGTGGCTCCTCCAGTGGGGGATGGAGCTGGAGCAGCGCACAAAGCTCTTCCCGCACTCGGGGCACTCGCAGGGCTTCCCTTACCGGTGCCTCCGTTGGTGTCGGGTCAAGTGAGAGCTGCTGGAGAAGCTCTTCCCACACTGGGGACACTCATAGGGCCTCTCCCCAGTGTGGATGCGCTGATGGATGATGAGGTCGGAGTTCTGCATGAACCCCTTTCCACAGTCGGGGCAGCGGAAGGGCCTCTCCTCTGTGTGAATCTGATAGTGCAGGAGGAGATGGGAGCTGCTCGTAAAGCCCTTCCCACACTTGGAACACTCAGGCTGGAGCTATGGCTGAAGCTCTTCCCACACTCGGAACACTCGTAGGGCCTCTCCCCATTGTGGATCATCTGGTGGCTGATCAGGTAGGAGCTCCTTTTGAAGCTCTTCCCACACTCCTCACACTCATGGGGTCTCTCCATGGTGTGGACATTCGTAGGGCCTCTCCCCAGTGTGGATCTTTAGGTGCACGATCAGGGCAGAATAGTGGCTGAATCTCCTTCCATACTCTGCACACTCGTACGGCCTCTCTCCAGTGTGTGTCCTCTGGTGCTCAATGAGGCCGGAGCTCCTGCTGAAGCTCTTCCCACATTGCCCACACTGGTAGGGCTTCTCCCTGGTGGGGATCACCTGGTGCCTGATCAGGTGAGAGCGCCGTCTGAAGATCATCCCACACTCCTCACACTCATAGGGCCGTTCACCAGAGTGGATCACCTGGTGCAGGATCAGGCTTGAGGTCCAGCTGAAGCTCTTCCCACACTCCAAGCACGTGTGGGGCTTCTCCCCATCATGGAGCTTCTCATGGAGTACCAGCTCCGAGCTCTGGCTCCATCTCCGGCTGCCTTCCTGGCCCAGGCTGGCTCTTTCCCCCTCAGATCCCCTCCAGCTGCGTTTGCAGCCCCTCCTCATGCAGCATCTCCGGGGCTTTTCCTCCTCGTTGGCTTCATGTGCCGTGGAGCCGCTCAAAACGGCCTCTGCCCCCAGGTTCTGCCGCGGGCATTTGTCCTCCCTGCTCTCCATGCTCAGCTCCTGCTCTGGGGGAGGAAGGACAAGGACAGGATGGGATTTGCCTCCGTGCCACAGGCAAGGGCAAGGAGATCCCCCCAGGGCTGTGCTGCAGCCGGGGCCGTGCTGGGCTGGGAGATGGAGCAGTGTTGGAGAGTTTAGTTCAAGAATGGCTTAAAGGAAAAGGCCATGAGACATACAATTGAGGGAAAAGTAAAAGGAAAAAGTAAAGTTCCTAACGCAGTTCTCAGCCTTCTGATTTCTATAAACAATTAGACTCTTTTTATAAACAATAAAGTTCTCAGACTGTCTTCCCATAACAAGCGGAACACCGTCTCTGGGAAAAGATGACACCCTGGGAACAGATGTGAAAGCTTTGGGAACTCTGGTTCTGTTTTTAATAAACAATTGTAGTTATTCTAAAACAAGAGGAGTGGTTAGAGTTTTCTCTGTTAGCCTATTATGAAATTGGATTACAGAATATGCATGAAGTTCGTTACCATTGTTATTTAAGGTGATTGATTGATCAATAAAGTTGAGTTCAATGCATTATAGGATGGTCGTTCTCCCCTCATGTCCAACAAATGGTGACCCCGACGTGATAGCGAACGCTTTCAGGGATTGCGAACACCACGGGGAGGTGAGGATTTGTCCAGGTTCCGAGAAGCAGCCGCGGAACGGCAATAAGCGCGAATAAACAAAGTGGAGGAAACCCGCCGAGACGCGCCGGCCCCGAGCGACCGTATAGACGGGTCTCGGCTGGTACGTGCAGTCCGAAGCCTTGAGGAGCTGCAAAGTGCGCACTTCTATAGGTATGGAAAGGCAAACCGCATATGAACTTTTTATTACTTTCTTGCAAAAGAGGCAAATTAAGGGGATGAATTGGCAAAAGGATTTAAAAGGACTTTGGACTTACGGCTATGATAAAGAGATTTTCCGTATGGTTTACGACTTAACGGGATGGCGTGAATTCGGTGATTTATTGTGGGAGGCTGCTTTGGAGAGTGATAAAACTGTCAAGAAGCTAAGCAAGCCATGGCGGGTGATGTACGGTGCACTTTTTCACTACGTCTCTGAGTGCAAAACAGCAGCCGCAGCTCATGGCGCTTGCGGTGCTGTGCTACTCCGAACTCGGCACGGGTGCACCGCCGCCGCGAAAGCCGAGCCGCGCCGCCCCGGGATCAAAGCCGCCGCTGCAGGAACCGAGCCGCGCCGCCCCGGGAGCCGCGCCGGGAGCGACCGAAGCGTGCCGTGGGGGGAGCAACCAAAGAAGCCGGCGCCGCAGGAGCTGAGGGCCGCGGGGGGAGCGACCGCGCCACCGCGGGGGAAGCCACGGGTGCAGCGGTGCCTGCAGCGGAGTCAGTCCTGCCAGTGAGTAAACAAAGAGCGCAGCGCGAGGGGGGGGGGGGTTTTCGCCCGCTCCGACACGAGCGCCGCAGGATCGGAGCGCTTTTTCAGGCGGGAGCGTTTCTCCCTCCGTCCTGCAGCCGGCAAAAGCTACAGTTTATGACCTAACAGTCGTAATAATTGTGAACTTTTGTCAACAAAAGGGAAAGATCTCTGTTGCAATTGAGAAACCAGTGATGGTAAACAAGCGAAGTTAAAGGAAATTTTTGATCTTCCCAGCACAGACTGTGAAACAGAAATCAGCGTAAATGAATGCGGGAGTCAAATTTCAGTTAATTTTGGCTCAGCATTGGTTATGCTGCCTTGGAATCACCTGTGTTAGCAGAGACTTTTACATCAGAAGCCCGGATAGCTCAGGTGGTGGAATATCAGACTCTAAAGCTGTGTTTTGAAAAATTTAAAATTGTTCAGGATGTGCTAAAGTGATTGTAGAAGTAAGATGTAATGACTGTGGTTTTTGTATTCTTTAAGCTTTGTTTAGATGTGATAGATGTAAAAGCAAGCACTGAATTCAAAAGAATTTTTTCACAGGTATACCTTGAATAAACTTATGTTTAAGTGTATTTAAGTATAAAATTGCTGCAGCAAAAACATGAGAAAGATTATTTTAGCTTAATATTTTAGAATCAGGCCTGTAAGTTATAGTAAATGCTATATATTATTTTCATAGTAAGTTTTATCTGGTATTAAGTAGTTTAAGTTAAGTTATCAATTAAGTGCCGTTAAATGTTAAATACTATTAAGGTTAAGTTCATTAAGTTTTTTTTCGGTGAAGTTCGAAGTCTGTTAAGTTTAAATTATATATAGGTTTAAGTTATGTAGGATTTGAAGCCAGTTAAGTCCTGTTAAGTTTATCTCCCGTTAAGTTTAAGTCTTATTAAGTAAGTTAAGTTAGATTCTGTTAAGTTTTATTAGATTTAAGTGATTTTACATGTTTTGCAAATAAGTCTGCTATAATTAGTCTCGTTAGACTTCCCAGAGGATGAATGAGTAACTGAAATTAACTTTATTTTAATAATTCCGTTTAGTATATTTATTTTAGGCATAATTTCCTCAAAGCAGCTAATCCTGTAAATTACTTTCATATATTCTAAAATTCTTGGAGCATTAATTTATTGCTGCTTTCTAAGTCTGTATCTTCCAGAACACTTTTTTAAAAGTTATGAGTCTTCAAGTGACATCCCGTCTCCAATTGTAAAGGCTATTAATTCTCTGAATATGAATCAAATATTATTTCCTACTGGGAGCTGAAAGCTGGAAGCCATACTCATTTGTTAGGAAGATTTGTTAAAGTTTTGCTCCAAGTGTTTCTATTAGATAAAAATAGGTCTTAAAATGGTATTTATTGTCTGTCTCACAGAACACACCAGTAAAAAGATAAAAATGGAAAAACCCTAAGCATCTTTTGTTTGCTAGGGTCCTATTTATTTGCAAAAAAGATACTACAGTAAGTCCTACTCCTTACTGGGAAATAGCTTTAGTTTCTCAGATCATGCTTTTACAGAAGTGTGCAAGTTAATTATCTAGTGATCTCTGTTTGTTGGCTTTAAAAATATGAGAGTCAAGAAAATGACAAATGTTTGCCCTTACTCTAATGAATACACATAGGCATTTTCTAAACCTGCTGACTTGTCTGCCTTTTGGGAAGTCCTAATGGAAGTCTTATTATTACCTACTTTCTGAAATACTACTTTTTTTTTCACAAGATTCTTTTATGCCCTAGAATTACATCTGTGCATTCTTTACTTTGTAAAGAAATCCTTAGACTTAACAATTCAAGATAAGTTGCACCTTTTTAGTATGGTCTAACTCTAGTCCTGCTTTCAGTTCAGAATTATTGATGAAAGAGAAAACAAGCAAAGTAATTCTTGGGGCATAAAGTTTAAGCAGAGTCAGTAGAGCATGAGCCTTCATTTTTCAGCAGGATCTAAACACTGCCTCAGCTTTAGACCTTTATGAATCTCATGAGCAGAAAATCTTGGCTTATTATCGGTGGGAGGTACGGTGTATTTTGAAAAGGGTTAAAGCTCAAAGTGCATCATATATAGCCTCGATAAGGTGTAGAAAACTGGTGCCTTTAACACAACATTCCGTTGTAGGTCCTATAAGAGGAGATCCCAATCAAGCATTAGATAACTGCATTAGAAGGTTACAAAGGTGTGGTTTTCAGGTGTCAGGAACAGTAAGGTTAAAAACTGAGAAGAAAAAGAAGGTCAATATAAAAACAGAAAAATGAGGTTCACTTTTGTTATATTGCTTAGTATAGTAGTAGCTGAAGAATTAAAGGTAGCACATTTTAGTCAACCTAGAGTTAACGTATGGATAACACTTGCTAGACAGATTAATCAGTCAACGCTTTGTCTCAGCCTTGGAGGAGTTACAGCTCTGATTACTCTAATTTTCAAAGGATGAATCAGCATAAACAGACATGGGCTACTCTGGATTCATCTCTAAGCCCGGAAATAGTGTCCAAACAGCTTTATAACCAGTGTAAGGCTCTAGCATCATGACACCTAAGAAATTACCCACAGGAATATTTCTAATTTGTGGAGATAGAGCCTGGAATGGAATACCAGCCCAGCCGCAGGGTGGACCTTGTTATTTAGGCAAGTTATCATTATTCCACCCTAACATATCTGTGCTGATGCAACTAAGTCATAAGACTAGCAGGGAAAGGCGCAGCTTACATAACTTAGACTGTAGTCAAATAGGAGATCCATTGTTTTGGAGTAAATTTAAACAAGTGATAGTTTCAGCTCTCCTACCATGGGGTGCTGCAAGCAAAGCAATGACTTTAGCAAAACAAATAGGGTGTTGGGCTAAGGGTGAATTGAATAAGACATCACAGATATTAGATATGTTAACTGCAGATGTACAAAGTGTTAATCACGCTGTTTTACAAAATAGAGCTGCCATAGATTTTTTATTGCTAGCACAAGGCCATGGGTGTGAAGAGTTTGAAGGGATGTGTTGCATGAACTTATCTGATCATTCTGTATCTATTCATGCTAAATTAAAAGAGCTACGACTAGGGCTTAACAGCCTTAGGGAAGAAGAAGGATTGGGAATTGATGAATGGCTTAAAAGCTTAGGATTGGGACCATGGTTAAGAAACCTTGTAATATATGCTATAGGGATATTAGGTGTACTTTTATTGCTTTTAAGTATCTTACCTTGCTTCTGCAGTTGGATCCAAAAGATGGTTGGTAGGATGATAGAGAAGACCTGGCAAGCTAACCTCTTTTCTCTCAAAGAACAAAACGGGAAAAGTGTGGAGAGTTTAGTTCAAGAATGGCTTAAAGAAAAAGGCCATGAGACATACAATTGAGAGAAAAGTAAAAGGAAAAAGTAAAGTTCCTAACGCAGTTCTCAGCCTTCTAATTTCTGTAAACAATTAGACTCTTTTTATAAACAATAAAGTTCTCAGACAGTCCTCCCATAACAAGTGGAACACCATCTCTTGGAAAAGATGACACCCTGGGAACAGATGTGAAAGCTTTGGGAACTCTGGTTCTGTTTTTAATAAACAATTGTAGTTATTCTAAAACAAGAGGAGTGGTTAGAGTTTTCTCTGTTAGCCTATTATGAAATTGGATTACAGAATATGCATGAAGTTCGTTACCATTGTTATTTAAGGTGATTGATTGATCAATAAAGTTGAGTTCAATGCATTATAGGATGGTCGTTCTCCCCTCATGTCCAACAGAACAGCACAGAGGGGAAAGGGGCACTGACTTCCTCCTCACCTGCCTCAGGGTCCTGGGGCATCTTCCTCTTCCTTGCAGCCTTCCCTGGGGCTGGCAATGGGAAATCCTGGAGTAAGAGGGTAGGAGCGTAAGAGAGTAAGGTTCCTATTACAACACAATGAATCTTCTTCTCTGTTGAATATTCTATTTCTCACTAACCAATCTAGGGCAAGATATAAGTCCTATAGCATTTACATACAGCCTATAAAAATCATTACATCACCATACTGTGTTACATTTCAAACCATAAATACTTCTCTTTGGACTCCTCCTGCTGAGCTAGTAGGTTCTGCTCTGACCCCTGGGTCTGTCTGCAAGTAGATGGAATTGTTTCATCAAAAGGGGATTACCTTCAGTCGGGCCTCACCATTGTTTTCCAATTGTTCACTAACTAAGGTATCTAAGCGCTTGCTTTCATCTCAATCTTGCTTAGACTTTCCATATTATCAAAATCTTTTGCCAGACAATCATATTTATAAGGCTTCCCTGTTTCATCTTCCCCAACACACGTTGAGTTTGAAGGTCCCTCTGCCCATGTCCATCTCTACAAGTCACAGGACACCTGGGCTTCCTGTCAGGTGAAAAGAAAAACCTCCCAAACACCAAGATTCAGCCCTGAAAAAGCCTCCCAGGAGTTCCCCTCCCCTTTGGTATTTGGAGGTTCCCCCCTGTCCCAGTTGCTGGGGTCACGCTTGGATTGTAGGTCCCCCTTCTCCTCGGTGCCCACCCTGCCCAGGCTGCTGGCAGTCCCAGCAATGCCAAAAGCTCCCCCCTCTTCGCTCTCCCCATTTCGGGATGCCGGGGCTCTTTGGGCTCCTGGGCTCCCTTCTCCCCTCATTCTCTGCTCTGGGCTGCAGCGGCTCCAAGGAGTCCCCCCTGCCCCTCTCCGGGCTCTTGAGGTTCCCACCAATGATGGCGCTCCCCCCTCTCTGGGCTCCCCACTTTGGGCTCCTGGGGCACACAGGGCTCTGCCCTCCAGGCTGCCTCTGCCGGCAGCCGCCACCGGCACTCCCGATGTCCCCCCAAGGGGCCTTTTCCACTCAGCCTTGGACTGCTTCTCCAAACATCCCCTCCAAAACCCAACTGGCAGTGACTGGGAACATGCTGGGGGGAACTGGGCTACCCTGCGACATGCTGGGAGTGACTGTAACAAAAGTGAGGGTGAAAGAGATCAACTGGAACCATGTGGAGCACAACTGGTTCATACTGGCAGGGACTGGGAGCACACTGGCCTCAGCTTTGGATCACACTGGGAGGGCCTGGACTAATACTGGGAGGATCTGAGAGCGACTGAAAATACACCCTGCCCATCCTCCCCCATACTGGGCCTGAATGGGAGCAACTGGGAGCATGCTGGGAGCAAATGGCATCATACTGGGACTGACTGGGTTGATCTAGGAAGCAACTGGAACCATGCTGGAAGCAGCTGGGACCATACTGGGAGACATTGGAAGCAACTGGGACCACACTGGGAGGGCTGGCATGTGACTGGGATCCAACTGGAGTTTACTGGGATCACACTGGGGTCAAAGTCAATGACTGAGATCACACTTTGGGCTACTGGGAGCAACTGAGAGAAACTGGGATGATGCTGCAAGCAAACTGGAGGAACTGGGAAGGACTGGATGCATGCTGGAAGCAACTGGGATATACTGGGCATGACTGAGGGATCATACTGGGAGAACTGAAACCTTACTGGGGCCACTGGCAGTGCCTGGAAATGACTGCAGATATGCTGGGGGCAACTGGGATATACTGAGAGTGTCTGTAACCATACTGGGGGGACTGGAATTACACTGGGAACAGCTGGGACCATGCTGGGGAGAGCTGGGACCACATTGGGGGCGACTGGAAGTGAGTGGGACCATGCTGGGAGGGACTGGGATCATATGGGGAGTGACTGGGATTATAGCAGAGGCAACTGGTTTCAACTGGGACCATACTGGGAGTGTTTGTAATGATAGGGGAGTGATGGAAGCACACTGGGAACAGCTGGGCCCATGCTGGGAGCCACTGAGATCACACTGGGTGTACTGGCATCAGACTGGGAGTGACTCGGAGTGACTGGGAGCAACTGGGATTAGACTGCAGGTGACTGGAATCATACTGGAGTGGCTACAGTCATACTGGGATTATACTGGGCATGAATGGAACCTGACTGGGGGTTACTGGGAGCTACTGGGCCCATGTTGGAAGGAAAATGGGCATAAATTGGGAGAAATTGGGATCATCTAGAAGGTTCTGGAACCATGCTGAGAAGACTGAGGCTATAACTGTGGCAACTGGGAGTTAGTGGGAAAGACTGGGATCATTCTGAGGTAAATAGAACCTTACTGGGGTAACTGGGATGTACTCGGAATGCCTGTAACCATACTGGGGGGGGCTGGAACCACACTGGGAACAGCTGGGATCTTGCTGGGGACAACTTGGGCCACGCTTGGGGCAACTGGGCATGATTGGGACCCTGCTGGGAGGGACTGGGACTAATCTCAGGTTAACTGGGATCATAATGGGAGGAACTGGGCACAACTGGAACTCTGTTGGGGGCAAATGGGATCAAACTTGAATCACAGTGAGAGCAGCAGGGTCCATTCTGGGTTAGGCTGGGATCACACTGACAGAGACTGGAATCATGCTGGGATTGACTTGGAGTGGCTGTGAGCAACTGGAATTGTGCTGAAAGCAACTGGTAGAAAGTGGGAGTGACTGGGAGCATGCGGGGGGTGACTGGGATATACTGGGAGAGACAGAGAGTCACTGGGATCACACTGGAGGCTCCTGGGCTCATGCTGGCATTGACAGGGGGCAACTGGGATCACACTGGGGGCACTGGTATCAGACTGGCAGTGTCTGGGATCATACTGGGTGAAATAAACAAGGCCAGGAGACTTCTTCTCCTTTTTAATGCCTTTATTAAAAGTGATCAGCTCAGGATTGGGCAGCTCGACAGTTCTGCAGCATCCGTCTTCTCTCCCAGGGCGACTCAGAGGAGGAGGATATGCACAGCTCTGCCACTACGGGCAGAGCTGGGGATCAGATCCTCGTGGGAGCCTTTAGGACCTGCTGATCCCCGTCAGATGGTGTTCCTCCCACTCAGTCAGCCTGGTCTCACCGCCGGGGTCGTCTCTCTTGGTCAGGGCGAGAGGCTCCGAAGGTGTTCCGCGTCTCTGCAGGCTCAGCATTTGGCTCCTCACGTCCAGACATCACTCCAGTCTCTCAACTCTTAGGTGGCTCGTTGTTTTTGGGGTCTTTCCGTGGGTTTGGAGTCGGGGGTCTCACAAAGCATTCTGGTCCTTGGAGTCACTTTGCATAACCCCCCCCCTCCAGGTCCCTTCTCCTCACAGTTTGGGAAGGTCCCCACCCTTCACTGTGTCTGAGGAGGGCCATTAACTCGCCCCAGCCAGGGCTTTTACTAATACAAAAATAACCATTAACGACAACGACCCGTGATTACAATAACAAAACACGAAGAGCTTCGGCAGCTACAGTGATCTGGCTGCCTTTTTTTGTAACTTTTCTCAAAAAAAAATTAACCGAATTTTGTTCATAACACTGGGAGTGGCTACAATCATACTGGGATTAGAGTGGGTGTGATTGGACCCTGACTGGATGTTACTGGGAGCTACCAGGCCCATGCTGGGAGCCAACTGGGTCTCCCAGCAGCCTGGGGAGGGCAGGCAACGAGTGGACAGGGCACCCCCAGTCCAAGTGGGACCCCCAGCAGCTGGGACAGGGGGGAACCTCCCCGGGCACCTGCGGGATGGGGGGCGATGCTCCCGGGGTCCGGAGTTCAGGCAGCGCCGGAGCCGCCCGATTCCGGCCGCGCTCTGCTCCCGCCGCTTCCTGCTGCCGCTCCGCCTCTTCCTCCCTGCCTCCTCCTCCTGCCCCGGTCCCGGAGCCCTCGCAGCCGGCGGGAGGAGCGGGGATGGAGCCGGGACAGGTCGGAACGGAGCGAAGGGTGGGGGGGATGGCAGCAGTGGGAGTGACTGGGCTGTACTGGGATCATCCTGGGAGCAGCTCCCGGGTGACTGAGTTCTACTGAGACCGTACTGGGATCACACTGGGAGTGAGGAGGAGCAGCGCGATGGCTCCAGCGCTGGGGCTGGGGGCGCTCCTGGGGCCCCGGGGTTGCGGCGAGAGCTGAGGGGGACCCCCGGCACCGGGACTCTCTGATCGCCCATCCCGGAGCACCGGGGGGGCCCTGAAACCCCATTCCTGGGCACCGGGATCCCCCCGCACTCCCATTCCCGGGCATGGGATCCACCCTGCACCCCCTTATCCAGCACCAACAACCCTCACACCCCCATTCCCGGGCAGAGGATCAACCCCTCACCCCCTTCCCGGCCATCCCGCCTCTCCCAGCCCCCAGAGCCCTCTTTTCCTTCCCCCAGAGACCCCCTTGACCCCTATTCCTGCCTTTCCTATTCCCTACCCCCTCCTCCACACCAAGGACACCCGAGACCCCTATTCCCAGCCATCCTGGCTTTTCCGACCTTTTGCATGGAATGGGGACACTGGGGACCCTTGGAGCTCCCTTTCCTGCATGCAGGAACTCCCTTAGCCCAGCCCGTCCCCCCTCTGCCCACCGCAGCCTCCCCTTTTCTCAGTCCTGGAACCCCCAAACCCCGTTCCCTGCTCTCCCAGCTCTCCCTTTGGTTCCCCCTTTGGTTTCCCCGTGCCCTCCCCGCCCCCAAATCTCGGTGTCCCCCCAGTTCTCCTGTCCCTGCGTTCCCTGCCCGTGGCGCTGTCGGAGCCCGGCCCGGGGTTCCCCCGGTTGGTGTCCATGTGGTCCCTGGCTGGGATCCCCTTCCAGCGGGATCTCGGCACAGCCAGAGCCGGCACCACGAGCGGCACCGGCATGGGGCCACCGGGGAGCTGCCGCTGCTGCAGCTGCATCCTGCCATTTCCAGTTGCTCCCAGTTCCTCCCAGTGGCTGTGCAGTCGGCTCCCAGCATGCACCTGGCAGCTCCCAGCACCCTCCAGACAGGGACCAATCACACCCCCTACAATCCCAGTCCAATTGTAGCTACTCCCAGTATGATCCTGGTCACTCCCAGTATGATCCCAGTCAGTCCCAGTATGATCCCGGTCAGTCCCAGTATGATCCCAGTCACTTGCAGTGTAACTCCAGTCACTCCCAGCATGATCCTGGTCACTTGTAGTGTAACTCAAATCACTCGCAGTCACTCCCACTCTGATGCCAGTGGCCCCCAGTGTGATCCCAGTTGCTCCCTGTCAATGCCAGCATGACCCCAGGAGCCTCCAATATAATCCCAGTGATTCCCAGTCTCTCCCACTCTATCCCAGTCACCCCCAGGTTGCTCCAAGTCACTCCCACTTCTTTCCAGTTGCTCACAGCCACTCCAAGTCAATCCCAGTATGATTCCAATCACCCTCAGTGTGATCTCAGTCCCACCCAGTATGGATCCAGCTGCTGTCACTGTCATCCCAGTATGGTCCCAGTTGTCTCTAGAATAGTCCCAGACCCTCTCAGCATGGTCCCAATCACTTCCAGTTGCCCCCAGCATGGTCCAACTCGCTCCCAGTTGCCCCCAGCATGGTCCCAGCTGTTCCCAGTGTGTTTCCAATCCCCCCAGTATGGTCACAGACACTCCCAGCATATCCCAGTGTGCCTAGTACAGTTCTAGTTAGCTCAGAATGGTCCCAGTCTTTCCCAGTTCCTCCCAGTTGCCTCCAGCATGATCCCAGCTTCTGGCAGTTGCCCAAAATGTGATCCAAGTGACTCCCAGGATGACCCCAGCAGGATCAGTAGTCACTCCCAGTATGGTTCCAGTCACCCCCAGTGTGACCCCAGTCAGTCCCAGATACTCCCAGTGTTATTGCAGTCATGCTCAGAGTGACTCCCTGTCATTCCCAGTGTGGGCCCAGTTGCTCCCAATCACTTCTAGGATGATCCCAGTCACTTCTAGGATGATCCCAGTCACTCCCAGTATGATGCCAGTGGCCCCCATTATGATCCCAGTTGCTCCCTGTCAATGCCAGCATGACCCCAGGAACCTCCAATATGATCCCAGTGACTCCCAGTCTCCCCCAGTATATCCCAGTCAGGCCCAGCATGCTTCCAGTCGCTCCCAGTTTCCCCTAGTTGCTTTCAGCACGATTCCAGTCGCTCACAGCCACTCCCAATCAATCCCAGTATGATTCCAGTCACCCCCAGTATGACCCCAGTCAGTCCCAGATACTCCCAGTATTATTGCAGTCATGCTCAGAGTGACTCCCTGGCACTCCCAGTGGGGGCCCAGTTGCTCCCAGTCGCTTCCAGGATTGTTCTAGTCAGAGCCAGCACCTTCCCAGTCACTCCCAGTATGATCCCAGCCATTTCCCATAGGATCCCAGTATGACCCCAGCATGGGCACAGCTGCTCCCATGACCATCCAGTAGGGTTCCAGTTGCTCCCATTTACCCCCAGGGTGGTTTCAGTCCCTCCCAGTGTATCCCAGTTGCTCCCAGCATGTTCCCAGTCATTCCCAGCTGCCATGAGTTGCTTGCAGCCTGATGCCAATTGCTGACAGCCACTCCCAGTCACCCTCAGTGCAGTCCCAGTGGCTGCCAGAATGACCCAGTATGATGCCAGTGACTCCCAGCATTGGCCAGCTTCTCCTACTGAGGTCCCAGTAGGATCCCAGTAGCCCCCAGCACGGTTCCAGTCAGTCTTTGTTCCTCTCAGTGTGATCTCAGTTGTCCCTAGTATAGTGCCAGCCAATCCATAGATGATCCCAGTCCCTGCCAGCGTGGTCCCAGTCATGCCCAGTTGTCCCCAGTGTACACCCAGTCATTCCCACTCGCTCCCAGGTACCCCCAGCATGGGGTTCCAGTTCTCCCCAGCATGGTCCCACCTGTTCCCAGTGTGGTTCCAGTCACCTGAGTATGGTTAACAGAGACTCCCAGTATATCCCAGTGTCCCTCAGCATGCTCACAGGCATTCCCAGTCACTCCCAGTAGAATCCAGTCCCAGTTCAGCCACTGCTGGGATCCCCCAGCCCTGTGTGCATCCCCCCCTGGCGGATGTGCCGAGAGGAGCCCCAAGGGCTGGCAGCGGCCAGGCAGGGTCCCCAGCAAGGCCCAGTTTCGATGTGCAGCCCCCAGTTTGCCCAGTTTGCCTCTCCTTTGGCCCGGGCCGGGTTCCCCCGCCCGCAGTGGCTGGGAGCAGCCGAGAGCCCCGCGCTGCCCATCCTGACCTGTCCTGGCTCCATCCCCACTCCTGGCACGGGCTGCGAGGGCTGGGGGAACGGGGCACCGAGGGTGTGGCTGCTGCTGGGGGAGGAGGAGGAGGGAGGGAAGGGCAGGGATGAAGGGAGAGGGGGAGCAGGGGTTAGGGGGGAGGAGGAGGGAGGGAAGGGGAAGGATAAAGGGGGAGAGCCAGAAGGGATAGAAGAGGAGAAGGAGGTGGGCTGAGGGAGAAGGAGGAGTGGGAGGAAGAGGAAGAGAAGGGACAAAGGCAGATCCAGGAAAGCAGAGGGAAGCCCTTGTCCTTAAACCCCCCTGAGCGTGGACTGCGCCCCAGTGTGGGCAGCAGAGAAGGGGGGGATTCTGCTCCTCTGCCCCACTCAGGTGAGTCCCCACCTGCAGAGCTGCCCCAGCCCTGGGGGCCAGCACAGGAACGACCTGGAGCTGGTGGAACCAGTCCAGAGGAGGCACCAGAGATGCTCCAAGAGCTGGAGACCCTCTGATCTGGAGCTAGGCTGGGAGAGCTGGGGGTGCTCACCTGGAGAAGAGAAGGATCCAGGGAGAGCTGAGATGTCCTGCAGCTCCCTCTGTGCTCTCAGGCAGGCAGAAGCAGGCTCTGGATTCAGCCCTGGAGCAGGGCAGGTGTTGGGGGTGTTACATGGAGCTGCTCTCCTGTGGGATATCCCCTCCAGGTTGCAAGCTCCTCAGTGGAGGAGTGAATCCAGGAATGTGACTGTGGTAGTCCTTCCTTGTGGCTTGCCCCCAGCCCTGCTGTTCCATTGGCCACTCCTGTGGGAGACAGTGCAGGTTTAGGTGCCTCAACACCTCCAAACCCTCCCTGAATTTGGAGCCTCCACCCATGAGATGGTTACTGGGGAGGGGGAGCTCGGCCCAGATATCCTGGGGGGGGGGGGGGTCTCTGCATTGGGTTTTTTTGGGGGGATGTTTGGAGAATGAAGCAGTCCAAGGCCTAGTGGAAAAGGCCCCTTGGGGGGACATCGGGGGGTCCCGGTGGCGGCTGCTGGCAGAGGCAGCCTGGAGGAGCAGAGCCCTGTGTCCTCCAGGAGCCCAAAGTAGGGAGCCCAGAGAGGGGGAAGCGCCGCCACTGGCGGGAGCCTCAAGAGCCTGGAGAGGGGCAGGGGGGACTCCTTGGAGCCGCTGCAGCTCAGAGCAGAGAATGAGGGGAGAAGGGAGCCCGGGAGCCCAAAGAGCCCCGGCATCCCGAAATGGGGAGAGCGAAGAGGGGGGAGCTTTTGGTATTGCTGGGACTGCCAGCAGCCTGGGCAGGGCAGGCACCGAGGAGAAGGGGGACCCCCAATCCAAGTGTGATCCCAGCAGGTGGGACAGGGGGGAACTGCTGAACACCAAAGGGTCGGGGAACTCCTGGGGGGCTTTTTCAGGGCTGAGTCTTAGTGTTTGGGAGGTTTTTCTGGAGCCCAGGTGTCCGGTGGCTTGAGCAGACGGACTTGGGCAGAGGGATCTTCAAACTCAACATGCTCATCCCTTGTTTTCCCCAAACCAGGATTTCCCATTCCTGACCCCTGGCAGGCTGCAAGGAAGAGGAAGATGACCAGGGACACTAAGGCAGGTGAGGAGGAAGTCAGTGCCCCTTTCCCCCTGTGCTGATCCATCTCCCAGCCCAGCACGGCCCTGGCTGCAGCACAGCCCTGGGGGGATCTCCTTGCCCTTGCCTGTGGCACGGAGGCAAATCCCATCCTGTCCTTGTCCTTCCTCCCCCAGAGCAGGAGCTGAGCATGGAGAGCAGGGAGGACAAATGCCTGTGGCAGAACCTGGTGGAAGAGGCCGTTTTGAGCAGCTCCACGGCGCAGAAAGGCAACGGGGAGGAAAAGCCCTGGAGATGCCGCACGAGGAGGGGCTGCAAACGCAGCTGGCAGGGATCTGAGGGGGAAAGAGCCAGCCTGGGCCGGGAAGGCGGCCGGGGATGGAGCCAGAGCTCGGAGCTGCTGCTCCATGAGCAGCTCCATGATGGGGAGAAGTGCCACACGTGCGTGGAGTGTGGATAGAGTTTCTGGTGGAGCTGCAAGCTGATCCAGCACCAGAGGACCCACACTGGAGAGAAGCCCTGTGTGTGATAAATGCAGGAAGAGGTTTCAGACCAGCTCTGATTTCCTCAAGCACCAGCGCACACACACAGAGGAGAGGCCCTTGCGGTGCCCTGACTGTGGGCAGGGCTTCAGTCACAACTCCAGTCTCGTCAGGCACCGATGCATCCACACTGGGGAGAGACCCCACGAGTGTGAGGAATATGGGAAGAGCTTCAGCCGGAGCTCGCACTTGATCAGGCACCAGAGGACCCACACTGGGGAACGGCCCTACGAATGTGGGGAGTGTGGGAAGAGCTTCAGGGACAGCTCCAACCTCGTCCAGCACCGGCACATCCACACTGGGGAACGGCCCTATGAATGTGGGGAATGTGGGAAGAGCTTCAGCCAGAGCTCCCACATGATCCACCACCAAAACATCCACACTGGGGAACAGCCCTACGAGTGTGATAAATGCAGGAAGCGGTTTCAGACCAGCTCCCATCTCCTCCGGCACTATCGGATTCACTCAGAGGAGAGGCCCTTCCAATGTCCTGACTGCGGGAAGGGATTCAAGCACAACTGCACCCTTATCAGACACCGGTGCATCCACACTGGAGAAAGGCCCTATGAGTGTCCCCAGTGTGGGAAGAGCTTCTCAAGCAGCTCTAACTTGACCCGACACTAACGGAGGCATCAGTAAGGGAAGCCCTGTGAGTGCCCCAAGTGCAGGAAGAGCTTCGTGCGCTGCTCCAGCTCCATCCCCCACTGGAGAAGCCACTTTGGGCACAGCCCTGGTCACTCACATTCCCTGTGATCCATGTTGGCAACACACCTGGCTGCTTCTCCTTTTGGTTTGACCTTAATTTTCTTCTGCTTCATCTTCATCCCTTAAAATCAGCCAAAACAGGGTTAAATGAAAGAAATTGATCAAAGATAGCTAAAGTCCCAAAATTTCAGAGCTTTTTAAGGGGGAATTGATGGTTTGGGGACCATATTCTGGAGGATTTGTGTGGTCTGTGAGGGGAGATTTTGCACAGTGTTCTCTGTTGCAGTGCGTTGTAAACTGTTTTAAACTCCCGGGTCCCTTTCCCAGGTGTGCCTATATGCCTCTCCCTTCCCCCTCGCCCCCTTGCTTAGTAAGTCCTGTCCATCAGGCTTAACATTCCAGCAAGGCATCGTGTGGTTGGTCAAGTTCAAAGGATGCTCCCCTATGCCCAGGGGTCATTGGCCGGTGTAGGTGTCTCTCGTCCCTTGAGACCCCGCCTCTCTCACCTGGTTGGTGCTCACTGTCCCCTCCCCTCCCCCTGCCCCGGGAGCTTAAAAAGGTGATGAGACTATGCGGCTTTATTCTGTTGGAGCAGCTGATCTCGTCCAGACCTCTGTAACCATAGAATAAACCACTGGATTAAACCCTCCAGCAGAATCCTCTCCTTTTTCTCTTCACCATCGCCAGAAGCTCTCTCTCTCCTGAGGTAAACGGAGTTCCTGACAAGCCTGGACTTGTTCAGTGCCCAACTGCAATCTCCAGCAAGCCAAGGTATCTCTGGGGTGATTTACACCACAGTTGCTGCCTTTGGCCCAGCAGCGAGGGTCAGACTGGCCCAGGCACCATCTAACTGGTAATATTGGGATTCCTATTCCAATAGTTCTCCATCTGTTTGCACTCCAAAAGCCAAGAGGGTAACCTCAAAACAACTGAATCCCATGCCAAACAACTGAATTTTAATTCATACAGTCCCAATCCCACTTCAAAATGCCTTGTTCCCACCCTAAAAAACTCAATCCCATGCCAAACTCACTCCATTCCACAGCCACCAGAGTGAGATGGGGTTGGGAGGAGACTGGGAGAAGTGGGATCCCAATTTGGAGTGGTGGGATGGGGATTGTGTGGAGCTGGGTGGGTGGGATATATTTGATAGTAAATAAAACTTCCAGGGTTACTGATTTCTGTCCCGTTCATTTTCAGTCAGTTGCAGTTCTGTTTGCAGAGTGCCACCTTCTCAGCTGATTGTGTTTGTGTCCTCCTTTCTCTCCTGCCTCTCTTTGCCTGCTCTGTTTCTCTCTCAGTGCCTCCCTTGAGCCAGGGCAGCTGCCACCAAAGACCCTTCCCTGATTTAATTCCCAGTGCAGGAGCTACAACAGCATGGGTGAAGTTCTGAAGGCTGGCAGTGAAATGTCACTGTAGGATCTTGCTCCACTTGGCTTTTGGCCCCTTCTTAAGAGCTTTGCGTTCAAGGGCAGGAACATCTTTTCCTGGCTGGGAACTGGAACTCCAGACCCTTGGGGTGTGTGCCGTGCAGGACCATACAGACTGGGTTCATGTGGACTGGGGTTGTATGGGTTTGGATTGTACAGACTGGGATCACGTGGACCAGAATTTCACAGACTGGGACCATATGGATTATGAGCAGAGATTGGGATCATACAAACTGGACCATATGGACTGGGATGGCTGCACCGGATCAATGTGAATCGAGAGGGTCCCGCCCTGCCCAGGGGTCCCTCCCCATCCTGCCCAGGGGCGCAGCCAAAGCTCCCTGGAACGAACACAGAGGTCTGGGAGGGATCCCAGTGCCAATTCCATTTCCAGTCCTATTTCCAATCCCGGTGCCAGTCTCAGAGTGATCATGGCGCTGATCCCAGTCCCGGTGCCAGCCTTGGTCTCTGTCTCAGTCCCGGAGCACTCCCAGTGCTGATTCTGGTTCTCGTGTCAATCTCAATCGCAGAGCGGTGCCGGTCCCGGTCTCAGTCTCGGTCTCAGAGCGGTTCTGGACCCAGTGCTGCTACTGGTGCCGGTCTTGGTCCCGGAGTGCTCCCAGTGCCAATCTCAGTCTGGGTCCCGGTCCCAGAGCGCTGCCAGTCTCAGTGCTGGTTCCGGTGACGGTCTCGGTCTCAGTCCTGGAGGGCTCCCGGTCTCGGTCCTGGTCCTGGTCCCAGAGCAGTCCCGGTGCAGGTGCCGAGTTCCAGTCTCGGTCCTGATCCCAGTCCTGGAGCGCTGCTGGAGCCAGTCCCAGTTCCAAAGTGCTCCTGTTGCCGGTCCCAGTGTCAGGCTTGGTGCCAGTCTTGGTCCCAGTGCCAGTTCTTGTACTGGTTCTGGTCTGGGTCTCGGTCCTAGTCCTGGTGCCGGTCCTGTAGTGGTGCCAATCCCAGTTCCAGTGTCGGTCTCAGTCTTGCTGCTGGTGCCGGTTCTGCTGCTGGGTTTGGTCTTGTTCCTGGAGAATTTAGGTCCATTTGGGTGATTTCAGGCCAAACTGGGCAGGTTTAAGGTTTGTTTCAGATCCCTTGCAGTGATTTCAAGCCTTTTAGGGTGGATCTTGGGCCCCTTTGGCTGATTTTAGGCCAAATGTGGTGAGTTTGAGGGTGGATTTTAGATCCCTTTGAATGTTATAAGCCCATTTGAGTAGGGTTTGGGCCTGTTTGAGTGATTTTAGGATAAACTGGGCAGATTTAAGATGGATTTTAGATGCCTTTGGCTGATTTTAGGCCTCTTTGGGTAATTTTACATTGAACCAAGCCTTTTAACGGTGATTTTAGATCCCTTTGTGTTATAGATGGCTAATGAGATGATTGCCTCTCACAATTAAGGGATGAATGCTGCGTGAATATTAAGAGAAGCTTTACTGATGTGTGATGATGTTATTGCAGTCTGTTGTTTAGATGTCCTCTGTTCTCCCCACAGTCTCCTTTCCCCCCTGTTGTTACCATCAGACAGCCTGAGCCATCCAGGACAGGTGGAAAGAAGGTGTCCTGGTTGAGGGCAAATTTGGTAGAGAATTTCCAAAAGGGCCCCTCCAGAAAGCAAACCCACACAGCCCCTCCCCACAACTGGTTCGGGAAGAATTCCTCGCAGAGATGTGGAAAGAACCTGTTTATTGAACAGGCACAGCACCCCCAAGCACACAAAATGAACAATACCGGGTGACACCACTCTGAAAAAGATGACAAATTCAGAAAGTCTCTCTTGGGGGTGGTCGCTCTCTTCTCAGTCCCTCCGGCACTGGGGCAGCTGCTGCAGCCACAAGGTGCAAACTCTCGGTGTTCCCAGGTCCCAGTCTGAAGCAGGTTTAAGGAAGTCCAAAAAAAAAGAAAGGAGAAACAGTCCAGGAAGAAATTTGGACTGTTTAGCTGAACAAACTAATGAGCAGAAGCAAAAGCAAAGCAGGAGCGAGAGCAGAACAAAAAGCCAAGTAAAAAGCAAAAGCAGCACCATGTTCTGCCCTGCCTCTGTGTCCTGCCAGCCGTGGGAGAGCGGCTGATAAGAAACCAAAACAAAACTTTCACTCTTCAGAGCCAGTCTCAGAGGCACAGAACATAACATCCAGCATAAACAGAACACATGAATGGGGGTACAAGCACCATAACGTCACCCTAGGACAAGCTGTCAGCTCCAGCTGCAGGCAGGCCTGAAGACCCTTTGGTTTTGGTTACAGTGCATTATATACTTTTCTTTGCTGAACATCTTAATACAGTAGAACCAATCTATACCTTTACTTTTATCCATAGCCTATCAAACTCCTATAATTACCACAATCATGTTTCTATTCTCCAATCACTAAAAGTTAGTATATTACAGTTTAAGCTAGAAGTTGTTTTTCAGTTTTCTTGCAGTGGAAAATTCTTTTTTCTACTTGCAACTTTGCTGACTTGTTTGCCTGTGCTATCTTCCTGCTTGGTAAAAACCTCTTCTGTTTGGGGTGGGTTATCCTTTGCTCTAAGCCATACAAGCCCCTTGTAAGTAACATACCCTTTGCCTTCTTAGTTATCCAGCAAGACTGGCTCAGTAATTCTTTTCTTCTATATCAAAACTTGCTTCCATCTCTATTCCTTCATCAGACTCCACATTTAAAAATCGTTCTGCCAAGCATACATATCTGTGAGACTTTCTTGTCAAACTTTCATCCTTCCCAACATCTCCCCCATTCTGATGAACAAAAAAGATGCTGGAAACTGTCTTATTTATCATTCTCTGCACACATTGAAGTGCATAGAGTACCACTACCATAATTGCAATTATCACCACTAACACAATCAAACCTAACTTACAAAGTTTCTTCAGCCAAGGTCCAAAGCTCCAACCATCAAACAAACTGTCTAACCAAGATGGATCATCTGTTGTAATTTGGTCAGCTAAGTCTTTTAAGTTTTGCAGCTGTTTATGAATTGAAGCAGAATGATCAGAAAAATTCATACAACACAATCCTTCAAAATCTTCATAGCCATGCCCATGTGCTAGTAAAAGAAAGTCAATAGCAGCTCTATTTTGTAAAGTGGCATGTCTGTTTGCCTCCTCATCTGTCGGCAAATCACTAATTATGCTAGAGGTGGCATTTACTTCTTTACTGAGCCAACATCCTAATTTGTTTAACTGTTTCAATGCAATTGCAAAACTTAACTGAGGCAAAAAAAAATGCTTGTAACAATTGATTTTCCAGAGTTCCAGGGGTGAAACTCACCATCGCAGTTGCTGTCATAATGATGCCCTCAGGAAGATCTTATTTTTCTGTTTTTCTTTTTAATTGCTTTTTTGACACTGGGAGCAATTATTGTAAGTTGTCCCAAGGCACAAGGGCCACCATCTGTTTTTGAGGGAATACCTTGCC